CCCCGCCGCCGTGAATTAATCAACGTATTTGTTTTTGAACAGACGGATTCGTTTGCACGAAACTGCAATTTATCAAGTGGTGATTTGTTTTCAACGCAACAATAGTTTCATCTCGCACCCTGTGTGCGATGCTAAAGTTCGGGTGAGGTGGAATGCTGCCGCGTGAGTCGCGATAGATTGGGGTTTGTTGAAAGGTCAGGTCAGCTGACGCGATCGCTGTCTTCCTAGCACGCAGCGAAAGACGCTGCAGTTGTTCAAATGCGATTTTCACATGGCAAGAAAAATGTCCCGACTTGAAAACAAACACGTCCACCCACCCGTCTCCCTGAGGATGCCCCTCGCATCTATTCGACCCAATGCGTGCTGCGCGACGCGTGGCCAAAAGTGCGTGTGCTTGCCCGCGCGCGACCGCTCGCGCGCGTGCGCGTGCGCGCGTCCCACCCCTTCCCAGTGTGCTACAAAAGAGGCGGCGTGTGCTGCGCTCACAACGCTTCAGCATCCTCCGCACATCCACCGGAAAACTTCCCCTTTGCTTCACTCTCCTCTTCATGGGATGTTAGCCGAAACTTTTTTGTGAGGGCAGCGACACGTGTGTTTTCTTGCGGACTGATTGGGACGCGAACCTCCCCTCAAAGGCGTTTTCCGAGTTTGTTCCGATGTGGATTCTTCAACGCCTCAAGAGCCAAGCGAGGTGCCGTTCGAAGGACGCGTTAGGAGCCCCAAGTGCTGGACGAACTGACAGAACCAAGCAGCGAAATGGTCCAGAACGTGATTCTGGTCTTTTTTCGCAGGAGACTCAGCCAGCGGCCCGCGGTGGAGGAGCTGGAGAGTCGGAACATCTTGAAGCGTAAGTTTGCAACAACCATTTCAAGTCTTTGGCCGTGTCTGGATCCGGATCGATGATCTACGTTGAGCTTGTGAGAATGCACGGGAAGCGAATGGACTGATTTTCAAAGTCACCATACCTGATAATTATTACAACATGCCCTAACTTGAATCTGTGTGTATATATATATATAAATTCGTCTTGACTGGACTGCTTAACTAACTTTGATCCCATTTTGAATCTTCCATGACAGTCAGTCAGACATTTCATAGGATCCAAACTTGCGGCAATACATTCATGCGAGGAATGACGCCCGAAGTCAGTTGTCCTCAGCCACGTCCTATCGCTCCGAATGGCCACCTGTGAGACTGTGAGCAGCTGCTTGTGCCATCCAAACTTTGTTGTCCTTCCGTCACCGCATCACTGCACTGAAATTCATTTCAAGTCTCCAATGCATCGTAACGCAGAATTTGTGGTGTTGTTTGAGCCAAATTTGGGTTGGGGTGCAACTGTTTCACAATTGATCTTATCATCTGTTTAACCAGTTCCGTAATGACCGCCAGGTGCTGACATTGGCCACTCCAATGCCTCAATACGACTCGAATACAATGTTGTCCTAATATTGGTTTGAATTTCAAGTCTCCAATGCATCGTAACGCAGAATTTGGGGTGTTGTTTGGCAGCGAGAGCCAAATTTTGGTTGGGGTGCAACTGTTTCACAATTGATCTTATCGTCTGTTTAACCAGTTCCGTAACGACCGCCAGGTGCTGACATTGGCACTCCAATGCCTCAATACGACTCGAATAGAATGTCGTCCTAATATTGGTTTGGCTTTCTTACAACCAGAAAGAAATGACCTGACCGAGCAGGAGGAGAGGCGAGAAATAAAGCAACGGCTGAACAGAAAGGTATGCCGCCGCAGTTTCTCCAACGGCGTCGGGGCAGCCGCAAAGACGTTCAGACCAACGGTGAAGATGAACCTTCGCGGCGCGGCTGACTCCGATTTGTTTTTGTGCAGCTCAATCAGCGGCCGACCGTGGATGAGCTGCGGGACAGAAAGATTCTCATTCGTTTCAGCGACTATGTGGAAGTGGCCAAAGCTCAGGACTACGACAGGCGGGCGGACAAGCCCTGGACCAGACTGTCAGCCGCTGACAAGGTCGCTCGAAAAATCCTCCTTCATATGGATTATATTTATTATTTACCCGAAAAGTAGCCTTGACATGACAGCATTCAGTGTGTCCAAACAACAAGGAAGCATGCATGAAGGGTCACACGCTGAATGGAGCTTTTTTTTTTTCTTTTGTCATGCAGGCGGCCATCCGTAAAGAACTGAACGAGTTCAAAAGTACGGAGATGGAGGTTCATTCTTCGAGCAAACACCTGACGAGGTTTGTGCGCCGGTGCGCTCGTGACATCGTAAATCCAATGTGCTTCCTTTCGCCGTATGCGCACCTTTGTGCCACATTTCGTTTTGTTTTTTTTTTTTTTGCACTCCCTCTCCCTCGCAATGAAGAGGTCACATCTTCAGTTCACATTTTGCTTGTTCAAGACAAAATCTCTCGTGCTTAATAGCCAGCGGATTATTTGGGGTCGTGCTCACGCAAGAGCCCCTTCTTGAACAAAGGCAGCGGCTACTTTATGAGACCTCCGAGCTAAGAATAGAGCTCCTGATTGATGAAAGCCCCGGAGGAGAAGATATGAACCCACACTCATCCTCTTTTTTTGTTTCTGTCCCCTGCGCAGGTTCCACCGGCCTTAGCAAGGTTTCTTCTGTGAAGAGTTGCTGATATTTGGTTCAGTCAGTGAAGACCTTGCACAGAGTCTTCCAGTGTACCCGCCCACAGTCAGTGGGTGTCCTGATATTTGGGTCCAGCAAACCTTAGAGGCTATGTCTCTAGAAATAGAGCGGCGAGTAGACGAGACGACACGCAGCAAGATCTACTCACGGGAGCATCTCACGGACCTTCGTGTGACCTTGTCGGGGGAATGGGGAAGACTCGCGGTCTCAGAGACGTTTTTTTTCTGGAGGTGGGGTGGTAAAGTGACTCTTTTCAAATCCTTATTTGCAATGCCATGACGGTGGGGCAAAGGTGCATGTGGCCCGGCGGCACTATTCCACTGTTGTTTGAGACGTCACCAACCCTGTCCTGTGTCTGACTCTCACTGGTTCAGTCGCTGACGAGTTTCATACGGACAGCCTCAATGTTCTGAATCAAAAACCTTGTCTGCGTACAAGACAACCTCCCTTTGTAAGCACTATTTATTGTCCGCACAATACAGGTTTTCAATTTGTAAGAAAGATTTGTGTGTCCGTTGGACTTCTATCATGTTTTGTTTTTTTTTTTTAATCATTATTGCTATATAATAGCCAGGGGTGCACATAAGTGGTGCGGCGGTGCACATGCGTGCAGAAAATTTGGAATGGGCACGTCACTGCAAAAGTACAGCAGAAAATAGTTTCCGATCCAATCAAAAGGCCCATTTGTATAGTACCTTTCAAAGAGTTGCATAATTGGACCGCAATTTAGCACAGGGCCAGTCAATGGCGCTGTGTTGCCGTCAACAAATAGAGACTGGTGACAAGTTTCCGGTCTAGCACTGTTTTCTTACAGAGAAACACTCTGAGAGTAGACTAGAGCAGGCATCGGTGTTCATCAAACGCAATGGAAAGCATCGACATGAGCTTAGCATCGCTGTAAGCTCACAGCTCAAAAGAGTGTCATTTTTACCTTTTCCTATCTATGTCCACTTTTAATAAGATGGTAGTTCTGAATATGCCTGGCAAACATGCTATTTTTGGTATAGTTCACAGTTGTATTGTGATTACTTTTATTTTTTGGTTTTTGTCAAGCCCTTCTCGATGGCATCGAACGGAAGTAAAAAAAAAAAAAAGGGCAAACGGGGGCCGAGATGCACGCTATTGTGGTTCTGAATATGCCTGGCAAACATGCTATTTTTGGTCTAGTTCACAGTTGTATTATTATTATTTTAAATTTTTGGTTTTTGTCAAGCCCTTCTCGATGGTATCTAACAGAAGTAAAAAAAAAGAAAGGGCAAACGGGGGCCGAGATGCACACTATTGTCCTCTCCCCAAGCACCAACAAGGTATGTTTGGATCAACTTTCAAACTTTTCAGTTTCAAGCTTTTTTAGGCTACAAAAAAAGTACAGAACAATAATTTTGTACTGTATTGTGTGTTTGTAGGCCACGAAAAAAGCAAAAATAGTACGTTGATGTAACGGGCCACCTCTTCCCCAGTTGGCCCATTAAATCAGGATCCACGCTGACAAATGGTAGATGGCGTTTTAAAAAACATCACCACCAACAACAGCAAATCGCACCACATGCTGTGAAAGCCCCCGTATGGCAACATCTCTGTTAGCTACTTTCAATTGGCTGTGCAGTTTATGCTTCATTTTTGACATCAGCACACGTCTTGTGTGATTCACAGTGTTCTCTTGGCAATCGAAGGGGACAGATGGCCGCTCGGGTTAAATTTCTACTGTACAGTCACAGTAACAGCTCGCTCTGTGGAGTCATGAATGGCTCGAGTGTCCACTGTGGCAGGTGGTGAGGTGTCTTCTACCTGCAATAGCCAGAAACCTGTGGAGGGCTACGACGCAAAGGGATGCTCTTGTGAGTGCAAAGGGGATTTCCTGATTCACAGGTGTTGCCCTGCATGGATGGTGATTCTCAGCAGTTTTATCCAGCGCCAAAAAATCATATCATACGTCCACCCTAAGCTAACTTCTTCTCATGCTCTGCCTCGGCGTATTGGAAAAGCTGTACAGAGATGGTTCTCATGTACTTCTTCCTTTTCTTACTCTGCATTCTAATACACCGAATTAAATTATTTACGGCAGTGTCTGATAAGCATTGCAGTCAAGCAGAATGATTCAGCATGATAAATAATATGATCGATTTTTCGTCAAAAGGCAGTAGTAGTCGAGTATTTGAGTCAATGTCAATGTATCACAGAATTGTGAAACTCTGGCAACAGCCGCGTTTCCATACATGTGCAATAGCTCCCTCCTGTGGTCGCTCAGGTAAAATGCAGCATACTGTCCTCACATTCCCTTGGAACAGTCACCTTGTAACTATGACAAGTCAGTTTGTAATTGCAGCCATTGTTGTTGTCCCAATAATTTGAGCCTTTGACATGATAGCAGATGGCGAATTCCAGTAAAGCTCCTGGCAGCAAAATGAAAGGCGGCACCGGCAGACGGAATCGGAAGACGTCGGTCCCCGGAGCGTCGCGTTCCCCTTCTGCCCCACTTGAGACCCAGGAGGCCGCTGTGTCCGTGGATGTTCTCCAGTTGGTAAACGAGTAGTGCACTGTGACCTTTTTCTCGTAGTCTAAATTAAGTACTTGTATGGTGCCCGCAATGCCCAGCTCGGAGCACACGATGTGCTCCAGACACACGGCCTGCGCGCGCACACGCGGCAGGAAGTCGGCTTGAGCGCCCAAGTTCTCCGGGAAGCAGGGTTTAAAGTGAGGCAGCGACAGCTCCAGAGATTTCCCGAAGGCCCTCTCGGAGCTCATCAGTAGTCGGAACATGACATGTTGGGGTATCAGGGGTCGCTCTTGAACTTTAAACACCTTCACCTCCTCTAAATCGAGGCCCAGGGAGTCCACAAAGCGAACCTGCTGGCTCCTGAGCTCCCGCCTCCGTTCCGCCGGTGACGGAAGAGACCGAGCTCGTCTCCTCATGATCGTCTTGGTCGGCGGATCGGCGGTCACGCTGACGTTTGAGTCCTGCTTTAGCGACGGAGGTCTCGGGCCCGGAGGGCGGATCAGAACCGGCACCTTGGGGGCTTGCGGTTTGGAGTCGTAAATGCAGCGAAGATGAATGGTGGTGGTTCGGGGGACGGCCGTCCAGCTCGGGTCGCCCATCGCAGCGTAATTGTCGCGTCTCCATTTCTCGCCGGCATTGTCCATGCTTGTTACGTGAATGAGCAAACATGGCAAGCAAGATAAGACAGCAAATGTTCAATTTTAGGTCATCACATTGCACGAAGTCACATTTCAATCACGGTCACAAACACAAATAAATGAACAATGCACAACAGACCTTTCCACTGGGTTGTTTTTGTTCCTGGATGCAGTGAAGGTAGCAAATGGCAGTCAAATTCAGTCGGCAACAAAAATGTAACCCGATCCAGAAAAAACGAGCGCGAGTCAAGAGCAGCTGATGATGTAGTGCAACAAGAGACTCAGCGGAAACAACGGCAATATATTGCGACTTTCAGCGTAGCCCCTCGCATTTAACTTGAAACCTTTCCTGGGGATGGGAGGTGCTGTAGCGAGAATATTTATAGCAGACAGCGCTGGGCTGCCCCTTCCTTCTCTTATATTACCTGCAGTGATTTCATCTCATCTCGCAATGACTAAAGCCCATGTTTCATTCGGGGTTCTTTTTGCCGATGGGAAACTGTCATGACTGACGAGGCTGGGGCCAAACAAGCGCGAACTGGTATCTAGGAAACAAGTTAGAAACCTTCATAACGTTAAAATTGTCAAAGTCCTCAGAATTTTAGTCTCTCAACCGAAAGTATTATCGGGTTTCTGTCGTCCTGCAAACAGTGACCAACATTGAGAAATATTTTCTGACATGTGATGGACCAGACCAGTCACTAATTCTGAATGAATGTGTCTTTCAGTTGCTGTTTTTAGCAGTTGAATCAATTTCAGCGTGCAATACGACAATTACATGCATTTAAAAAGCAAAACGGGCCTCTGCACTGGGGTTGTCGCACACAGGCGCACAATCAGGGGTTGAAGGTGGTCTCCAAGTGCCCACTTTCAAATGCGCTTTGTGCGCCGATATCCTGCGTGGACTCCAGCGAGTCCATTTAAGCTTCAGGCATTCGGACTGCGCACCTCTCCCGGAAGGAATTTAAAAGGATCGAAGCGAGCGGCTTTCATTTGCTGGGAAAGAATCACTCCCACAACGGCGCAAACGCCCCTTCCTAACTGCGTCAGCTACGAAAATACCAAAAGAAGGAAATCTCCACCCATGCGGGCAGTTACGGTCAAAAGCACAAAAGCAAGGACTGATGTGTTATTTTTTTATCACGTCTTATACATGTGGATTAAAATGATTTGAAAATCAAAAAAACTATCGATTGAAAACATTTTTTAATGGTCTCACTGGACGGTGGAGCTTTGCAAACTTTACGTTCGACAGTTTCCAAAAAGTCTCAAAAAGCCTGAATGTAACCAAAAAAGAAAGGAGTCAGTTTCTCTAAATTTAGACCCCTAACCATCCATCCATCCAGATCGGAAACTGTTTAAAGATTGTATGACGGTGTGATAAAAGCTCCTTTTACCAATTATCAGCCGACATACTGTCCACACACAGATATGCTTTCATCTGCGCGTTTTCCAATCTGCTTCTTTGTTTCAGGTTTATGGGGAGCTGGAGCCTGCCCAAGCGGACTTTGAGCAAAAGGTGGGCAACACCCACGGGTGACCGTGATAGCAGCAATTTGTGGTCCGACAACCTGAGCGGGGAACTGATCTTTCAACGGTGTCGGCATTTTGGAAGTTAGCCCGGAAGGTGAAGGCCACGCTGATGCCGCTGTCATGCTTGAGGCAAAATTCCCCCTTCCGGCACCAAAAGAATCTTCCCGGATGATCTGCCTGCAGGTGATGCCGTCGTTTATGCTGGCTGGGCTCGGCATGGTGACGGCCGGCATTCTGCTGGACCAAGTGCAGGTCAGTGACACCAAATAACTTTTGTAGCCATTTCTTGGATATGGAATTGCAATATCATCGGTAGCTTGGACGGAAGTTGAAAATGGCATGAATACACTTCGATGAATAAGCCTTTGCTGGGTAACATTTTTTCATTGTGGACCCAATACTGGCGTGCTTGAAGGTACACCTTCCCCAAACACTCAAAGCATCTTAGGCAAGAGGTCGTCTTTCTCCTTTGTGTCACACATGTGATTGACAGGTGCTTCGTCCAGGCTGCACCTCCTTCACAGGACAAATCAGATCATCCCTTGAATACGAAACACTATAAGAAATGCACCAGTCCAAAGATAGCCACTTGCTTACTTTGTGCCAAACGAATCTAGCGTCCATCTGTTTTGTCATCTGAAACAAACTCCTTGTTCGAGAAAGCTACGGGGCTTCAACGAGCTGTGAACATCTGTCGCCGTGTTCTCTCTGTCGCTGTCTGACTTGTCTCTTTGACGAGCCAAGATTTGATTTGTGAGCTTCAGCTGTTTGGCGGTCGCAGTGACCTTGCGGGTGACCGCGCTCCGTGCAAACAAGGCCAACTACGCAGTCAAATATACACTTTGACACTCTGACAAAGAGCCCGTCATCCTAAATGGAATAAAGATACACCCGATAGACAAATAATTACGCGAGGCGTATTGTGAATATATCAAATGACATTTCGAGTCAGATATCCATCACTCGATCCATTTGCTACGCCGCTAAAAGACTTCGTGTCACAACTGTGCGATTCTTCTGCAGCCTCATTATTCCAATTACAGACAGAAGCCAGACGGGGGCGCTGCAGAAAACAAAGAACCCCTCAGGCAACGTCCCATGTCCCAAAGTCAACATTATAGCTGAGTCATATTGAGTGTGTGTATGTGAGAAAGGTGTGTGTGTGTGTGTGTGGGGGGGGGAGTCATCCCACACTGCGTGCTTTCTCTTCCCCACATTCATATGTGTGCAGTTTACAAAAAAGGTCAACACCACTCAATAAAGTCATGGTACTTGTCAAAAGGTGAGCATACTGATTTTTTCCCCCCCCCCCCAACCCCCCCTCCCGCGGGCAGAGAGAAGTCCGCTGCAGCACGTGTCAGGGACAGGTAGAGCACCTGCTGCTTGGAGATGCGTCACCCACCACCAAGCACGTTGAAGAGCAGAGGAAGGAGGGGCTACGCAAAGAGTCAGAGGGGGTGGGGTGGGGGGGGGCGGCAGAACAGCAGCACCCTCTGAAAAACAATCGAGACGAAGAGGAATGCCGAGAAAGAAGAGTGCTGTTCATCGTGACCGCACAATCTGCAGCCTTGCCCCCCGCTACGGGCACATTCCGTCTTCTTCCTTCATCGTGGACTTTGTGACTGACCTTTCCATCCCGAAGCACCTTTTCCCGTGATTTGCTGCCGTGAATAGTGTCACCCCCCACCGATGAAACTGAGGAAGGTGCTTCGGCTTCCCCAAGAGAGGGAGCTGTGGACGGAGACGGAGGACAAGGGGCACATGAGGACTGAGAAGAAGCTCCTGGTCTTCTGGATGTCCTTGTCCCACCGGACATGGACCCTTTTTAGGCCCCGTGACAGGCCAGGCTTCCAGCGCTCGGCCTCAGCCGCCCGGCTACTCAAAAGTGAAGCGTGAGGAGTGCGTGTGTGTGTGTGTGTGTGAGAGAGAGAGAGAGAGAGAGAGAGTGTATGTGGGTTAGTTTCAAAGTGTTCAAAGAGGCTTCGCAGACCTGCTGTCACGTGTCTCGTGTGCGCTTCCTGCTTTCAAGTAGCCTTCCGCCACCGTTTGCAAAAGAGACAGATCCTGGTGCAAGTGATTTGTGGAAACGTGACAGGAACTGTGATGGCAGGGAAGCATCACTCGGGGTGAAGGAAAAGTTGATCCAAAGAGCAAGAGCCGTTGGATATTTGCCTCGAGCAGTCCTTTGGGAGACCAACAGAAGATTTTCAGTCAAGACTCTAGCAGTCATGGCGGTGACCCATCTGGCGCTGGAGTTTTGTTTCCAGGGCAGACATTGAAGCGCTCGATAATAGCACCGATGTTACCAAAATGGGCACCGGATATGAATGACAGCAAAATAAATCAATAAATATCGCTTCCACTTTTGTAAGTATATTCCAGTGTGTATTTTTCTTACTTTTACTGAAGTGAACAAGTTGAATCATTACTTCTAATTTTGCCAGAATGTTTAGCTAGATTCTTTACCGCTACTTCAGTACAGAGTTTGAGTACTTTTGCGACCTGCATGCGTCGTCAGAATTTAGAAAATCTCCACAGGATTGCTTTATTTATTTATTAATTATCGAATTAAACACTATCAACCCACCAAAACATTTAAAGCCAGACTCCTCGTGAACCCAATTCATTTGCGTCAAGATCGAAAAGTTGAACGAAACATCTGCTGAATAGTCTAGCCTACTGCAAAGATTGTTCAAGAACGCAGACTTTGGCTAATTATAGCAGATGAAGGTTTTCAGGCTGGTTAACCGATGATCCAAGTCACCTTGGAACTGACAAAGACACGATTCACTCAATTTTCATCGAATAAAAAAATGACATGCGATTTCTATTTTTGTGGCGTTTTTTTTTTCAGCACTGGGCGGTCTTTCAAGAGATCTCCGAGGTTTTTATCTTGGTTCCGGCCCTGGTGGGACTGAAAGGGAATCTGGAGATGACGTTGGCATCCAGACTGTCGACAGCCGTGAGCGCAAACACAATTCTACACCGAGACACACAAACCCCCCCAAGAAAAACGTTGACATCCACAGTACGTAGAACAAATGTCCCCAAATTCCACAAGGGCACTTGTTGCGATGCTTCCACGTGCAGGCCAACACCGGGCAGCTGGAGGAACCTCAGCGGCAGTGGAGAACACTGTGCTGCAATTTGGCTCTCATCCAGGTAAGAAACGCATCTCACGGCGATTCGACCGTGCTCAATTTGTTCAGGCCGGTTATCGGTATTCATCCGTCCCTTCCTTGTGAAAGTCAAAAATGATGATGCGCGCTGAAAGTATTTCTCTTGAGGTCAGGGATGAATGGGGTGATACAGTGAAACTCCTCTACAACGGAATCATGTTTGAAGCAAGAAATGTTTCACAACAGGGGGCTTTTCACTGGAGCAAATTTTATCTCAGATGTAAACACACACACACACACACACACACACACACACACACACACACACACACACACACACACACAAAACACGTATGTGTATACTCTTTTTTTAATTCCAATACGTTATGCATAAATATGAGCATACACTTATTTGACACTTCAGATAGCCAGTGTAGAAAGAAAAAAACGTGAAAGAAATTGCAAAGTTTACGATCATCATTCACTTTCACTTCCATCAATTGCATAGCATAATGTCTTTTACTTTGCTTCCTCCATCTTTCATTTTCATGACTTTTATCCTGTCTTCAAGCGTGAATGCTTTTCTTTTCTTCACTCCTTGGTCTGCAAAGGTCCGTTTGGTCGCCATTTTAGTAATGTAACGTTCGTGCTGCGTCTGAAACTAACAATAACAAATATTTCCTGGACTACTGCGCATGTGTAAACCAGCGAGGTGGTTGCTGTTGCCGTTTCAGAACGAAGTAGCAGAGGTCGCTGCGGCATGCTGAGGTTGGATTAGACTTTTGCGGAAGGCTTGTTTTCGTTGTAGTGAATCTCGTTGCGAGGCAAGAGCAGAGAAAAATATTTCGTATAACGGAACAGGGGGACTTTTTGTCGTGGGGAGGAGCAGAAAAGTGAGATGGCTGCTGTGGCGGCAGTGAGTCTCGGGGGCCTGACGAGAGGTCGAGTGGATGTTGTCCACGCCGCCATCCTGTGCGCCAGCAGTGTCACCGCAGCCTTTCTTGCGGCGCTGTCTCTAGGTCAGACAACCGACGGAAGATGCAGACACATCCCCAAAATAACCGCGCGGTCATGATCTTGCAACACGAGCAGGCCTCGTGATGGTGGCCGTGATCATCGGCTCCAGGAGAATGGGCGTCAACCCAGATAACGTAGCCACGCCCATCGCTGCCAGCCTGGGCGATGTCATCACTCTGTCGTTGCTCGCTGCGGTCAGCAGGTTTTTCCTCTGCTACAGAGGTGAGAGTGCAATTAGGGAATGCGGAAATTTTTAGATGAGATTTAATGAGATTTGTTATGCACTGGTATTTGTTTGTTTATTTATAAAGAGAATGTGATATGAGATTTTGTGCTCTTAAAACGTCCAGACACATGGTACCTGCCTGTTGGAGTGTGTGCCTTTTTCCTGCTTCTTGCGCCATTGTGGGTCCTTGTCGCCCGCCAGTCTCCACCTATCGCAGAAGTCCTGAAGTCAGGCTGGCAGCCCGTTATTTTCGCCATGTCACTCAGCAGGTGAATGGCCAATTTGACATTCTCTCTTTCTCGGACAAGATCAAGTCATTGGTTTGGCTCGTGTTGTGCGCAGTGTTGGTGGCCTGATTCTGGATAAGACCGTGAGCAATCCAAACTTCGAAGGAATGGCCGTGTTCACTCCGGTTATCAATGGTCAGTAGCTATTAATCTTCACACACTGAAGTACACGGATGTTGTGTGAACCTTTGTCAAGACGAGCTGCTTTTTCGAGCTAAATCACCAGACTTGGCAGTATTATTACAAGAACGCTTCTTCTTTGCTCCCACTCGTGCATTAGGTTTGCAAGCAAGTATGGTGTTATGTTCAATTGGTCAGTGGTTACTGGTTTCGTGGTCAACGTCCTGGTACGAATCGCTCCCGTGTGGAATTTGCATTCTCTTGCGTACGTCCATGCTGTATTTTTCTGGGGACTCCGTCTTCCTCCCACTTTCGTAAATCATGCATCCCGGGTTCTTTAATGACATGTGAATTGGAGTGTGAACGGCTGTTTGTTTATATGTGCGCTGTGAATGAATGCCAGTCTGGTCCAACAAATAATTGGGGCCAGTTTATACACCAGTTTCAAGCACCAGAGCTAGAGGCAGTTTCGGTGGTGGGTAAGAAAGAACTGGTGCTAACCTGGGCACTGGCCCGGAACTAGCACAAGCACGGTGGAAAAGGGCCATGTGAGTTCCAAGCCTGGATATGGGCTCTACAGGTCTGGACTTGAGCACCTCTGGTGGAAGCCAATGTTCTCTCGATGGCTAACACTGATATCGCCATTTTTTAAATTTATTTATTTTTTAATGTAGGTGTTGGAGGAAATCTGGTTGCCATCCAGGCCAGCAGGATGTCGACTTATCTTCACTATTGGAGCATTCCTGGCGCTCTGCCATTCAAAATCACCACGGACTGTCCTGGACCCTTTGCTACTTTCTTTTCTTCAGGTGAAGAGAGACATTTATATGTGACACTTGACTGACAAATGTTGAACGGATAAACTAAGTGTGTTTGTGTGTGTGTGTGTGTGGGGGGGGGGGGCAGTTTGTCGTAACATTGCAGTTTAACCAGTTCGTATTGGTAAGCAAAATCTAGTTCTTTTTCTTCTTGCATCTGTTCAGATCTGAATTCCAAGTCAGCCAGAGTCCTCGCCATGCTGGTCGTCCCAGGTCACCTTCTCTTCCTATACGTGATCCATCTTGCGCAGGCAGGGCACACGGCCATGACAGCCGCCTTCGTCGTTTGTTACCTATCTGCAGCGCTGCTTCAGGTGAGATCCTTTTGACTGCTTCAGCGGAATTCTCATCTAGTTTCTGCTGAAATAGGAGTCAAACGTTTACATTGTATTCCATATTGTAATACTTAGAAATAAAAACGCAGCGTACTGCTAATGCTACGCTAGGTCACGTGCAGTGTTAGCGATATGTGAATAATCCAAATTAAATTGAAGAAAGGCATGAACAAACCAACACCCGCCATACATTCAGACCTCGTTGAGTGTCCATCTCTCCGCATGTCATTTCGTTGTGAGAAAGTTTCATCTGATGCTTTGCTCTTTCAGACCTCCTTAAACCTGACAGATATTTTCCAAGCCACGGTGAATTTCCATAAACGTGACAAACTCTCCCCCCCTACCGACACCTGATGAGTTTTTAGTTCAAGTCTGATAGCTGACACAGTAATTCCAGAAACCTGACAGATTTAGCCTCCGAGGCCCGATCCCCCCCCCGGACAGCTGACAGCAGACTCGAACAAATTGAGAACGTCCTGGAGAGATTTCTCATCATCGCTGCTGTCATTGACCAGGTGGTGATTCTTCTGCACATCGCCAACCTGATGGTGAGGTGGCTGTGGCAAAGGGGCTTGGACCCAGACAACTTCTCCATCCCCTACCTGACAGCACTGGGTGACCTGCTGGGAACGGCTTTTCTGGCCCTAAGCTTCCGACTGATTCACCAGATCAGCTCTTGACGGGTCGGGATTTGATCGACAGCATTGATGTACTGGGACCTGCACGCCCATACGGGACGTTCGAGTTCGTGAGCTACCTTCTGGGTGAACATGGTGTCGTGAAGTAAGCCATCCTTCGGTAGGATGTGTTGAGTGATGCTCTGGGAGTAAAAATGCGACCATGCCAGGAAAATCCAAGCTATCGAGGATGGAAATGCTGTCAAAAAAAAAACAAAAAAAAAACTGGAAAGTAAAACACAAGCAGCACTTTCTACTGGCCAGTTAATTACCGTATTTTCCGCACTAAAAGCCTTCCATTTTCTTCAAAGCTCACAGCGCGCCTTAAAATCCGATGCGCCTTGTGTCATTACGGTAATATGTCAAGCCCAAAGTGGCTCCTTGCTAGAGACATGCATACAACGAAGAGTTCAAACGTAAGGCGACCGGTTTCACAGTTGAACACGGAAATAGAGCAGCGGCAAGAGAGTTCAACTTTAACGAGTCAATGTTATAAAATGCTGTTGTTTAAGTGAACTGTGTCGCGCTGCTTTATTAAATATGTTTTACTGACATCTGATCGTTGCTATATAAATCAGGGTGTAATGTAGTGAAGTGTTCCCTTGGCATTTCCTTGAGCGTAGCTCCATCTAGTGGATGTATTGTAGATTGCCTTTTATAATTCAATAAATGAAAAAAAAAATACAAAATAGGCCATTCACTGAAGGTGCGGCTCACAATGCAGTGCGCCTTTTAGTGTGGAAAATACGGTATGATAGGCAATATTTTAGTTGTCACATAGGCCTTGGTATAGAGCTATTTAGGTCCGTAGACTCAGACACGCGACTCAAAGTACCATAGCTATGTACTTGCTGACCTTAAATTTCAAAGCCAACCTACTAATGGGAAAATAATGCTGTATAAGAGTCGATCACCGGTTGATAGCAATTACCAACGCAATTATAAATGTGTCTAGAAACAAATATTTCATCAGTATAGATGACGGTCTACTTCATAGCAAGATATTTATCAGATGGAAGGGAAAATGGAGCATTTTACAATGCAATACATATTTATTGATATTGCGCTTTCACAACAACTTCAGCTGTAACAAAGTGCTTTACAGAACAATTTTGCCGTTGAATGTCTGTGGGGAGGTCAGACTTGAAGAGTTGGTTTGGTTTTGCTCATCTCAGAGTTACTGCCTCAATTTTTTACGAATCCAAAATCCCTGGTATACACGTGTTTTTCATCTGGAAGGTGGTGAAACGCTCACAAAATAAGGTTATTGCGCACGAGTTTCCGTAGTTGCTAGCTCACTTCGTAGCCTGACATAGTTCTTCTGCACACAAGAGATCAACATTTCCACTTTTGTTTGCGGGCATTTATTGTTTTCCACACAATAGCATTGGTTATGGAACACCAGATTTTTAGTTGAAAACAAAAGTATTGGAAAGATCATGGGGGCGGCACGATGGCTCGGTGGTAGAGTGGTCGTCTCTCCACAGCGGTCAGTCACAGGTCCCATAATATCAACTCACATAATAAAAATATTGGTCAGTTCAACGAAGCAGCACAACAAATCTCAATACAAGTACCTGGAAAGAAAAGATCAACTGCTGAGCTCATAGTCATTTTTTGATGTCAAGCCCAAATGGTTTCAGACTACGTGTATTGTGTCGTGAAAGGGATTGTTTTCACTGTTCCAAAACATCGAGAAGGGAGCACTTCTTTGAACTGTTTGCTCAAAGCTGATGCATGTCTGTGTGATGTATTAAAAAAAAAAAAAATTCGGTTTGTGTTTAGAATTGTACCTAAATATTAGGATTGTCATGCTCTAGTGTTGTGGTCATACGTCATCCAATAAATTGTGTTGCGTGGGTGATATTTATTTGAGAATGGTGCCAACAGTTCTTTTGGGCTGATATGATGCAATTCGGTCAGAAATAGTACAATAAATAAAAACAAATTTTCGAGCATTAGAACATGAAACACAGGCACAAATGATTTTCTCTGGCGATTGACCGTCAAAAGGCACTCATGAAACATTCACTGTCCAAATGCGATCGTAAACATTCATTGTGCTATTGTGATGTCACCTCACCCCCCGCAAAAGACAAATCACATTTGTTGTGCGAATTCACCAGGGAAAAAAAAAAACAAACACGTCAAATTGGAAATGGAATTGCTCACACAATCACAGACGAGGACTCACTTGATCACTCTTTACAGTCCAATGTGAATGAGTAGCGAGTTTCACCTTGGGTTTAACTCAGCTGTGCCGACAATGCAATGGTTCACCTGTGCAAACAAAAGTATGTACACCATTTGTCGGCAATCGTCCGCTTTATTGGTGTTGTCCGACGGCGTCTTCATCCGCCGCCTGCGGATGCCCAACGCGCCCCCTCTGGCTCGTCACAACTTGAGGTATGCTGGCACGGAGTAGTTAAATAAGAGGAAGTCCATGCGGAAGAGGTTATACAGCTTCTTCTGATAGAAGGGGCTGATGTTGAGGAAGAGCTGTGCTGCCACGTCTCCCGTAGTCCTGGCGCTCTTGGACGAGGCGGGAAATCGGACCCGGTCCTCCACGCCGGCCAGCCGTAGCACGTAGCTGGAGTCCTGCTCCAGCGTCTCGTATTTGCCCACCACGTCGTAGTGGATGAGGCAGGGGTGGCACAGCGAGTGCACCCGCTCCCAGTGCTCGTTGAAGGGTTCCTCCATCTGGGTGGCCGGGTCCACGAGGTAATACACGAACTCGTCAAAGGAGACGTCGTCGCCTTTCTCCAGAGCGTCTGGCTGCGGGTTGGCCCTGTGCCGGCGTACGATCTTGGTGCCGTATCGTTTGTGGAAAGCCGTGTTGTAGCTCCGTGTGAATTTGTTGCGGTAGGCGGACACGAGCCGCTCAAACGGCTCGCGTACGAACACAAACTTCAAGTAGGAGCGCAAGCGCTGGTTGATCTGGGAAGCCGAGTACTCGGATAAGGTGCGCAGGTTTCCCGACACGTGGGCCTCGTTCGCCGGTATCTCCAGCGGGTCTCGGCGGGATCCGGCCGCGCCGGTCAGGACCATGAGTACTCGCTTCCAGTTGGTGCAGGCCACTTTGGGTACATAGCAGTACAGCAAACCGTGCTGGTCATCCACAATGACGTGCTTAAGGTCTTCCGGGATAAGGACTCGACGCTTTCGGGTGTAGGAGCGGCAGGCTTCCTCTAAAAACTCCCGTCGGCCTTGATGGATGGCCTGCACTGCTGACTCGACCTAAAAAAGGGGGCGGGGGGGAAACAAACAATGCTTTGAAAAATGTAACCTTTCATTTGGAAGTCCAAATGAAATGAGTGAGTGAACGCACACTCTAGGAGGGGCTATTTGGGATCTTCGTAAAAGATCGTAATCTTAGTCGACCAAAATCACGCCAAGCAAGAGCACGTGCAATCTGTTAGCACGAGCGTGCAATTCTGCACCCGGTATTTGAGATTGGAGTAAAGCAGGCGAGTGCCTGTGCTGCAACATGTAAACCGTTAAAATAACATTCATAGTGTCGTAATGTGCCGGTCTCAAGTACAACTTGTCCTTCGTGTGACACAAACACCCGATTTACTTCTTTCATTTGCTTAGCCCGCTGGACTGCCGAGCGCAGCGGTCAGCACGCCGAGCCTCAGTTTGACACTCTGTGTGGCTGTCTGTATTTGCCAGCAGATAGCAAGACTACCTCTGCGGACATTTTTTGTGCTTCGTGTGCAGCTCTCGTCAGACCGCATGGCCTTCGTGTGAGCAGTGGGTTCGATGCCTCGGCGGTTTCCGAGGTAGCTCATGTCAAACATGAAATTCCGACAGTGATGATTAAGCACTCACGCAAAGTGAAATCATGACAGACGGAACCGAAACAGAGCACGGCAGACATCCCCTCGCAGATGCGTTCTTTTCCGCATGCCTCTTGAGCATGCGCTAAGCTAAAGCGCCTACAAAGCTAAAGAATGTGCTAAGCTAACGAATGTGCTGGGCTTTTTCAAGACACAAAATAAATAGAGCGACAGGGCAACACAAGTGTAGGATTAGAGTCCTCAGTACACCCACAACGACAAACAAAGGGGAAAAAAAAAATGAAACATTCAGTGTGGTGGAAATGGCATTCTATAGAGGTCACTGCTGGATGGCGCCCATGTTTCTTTTTTGATGCCAAGATCTGTGCACATCTCACTTCTTTAGTTGCCAAAGATTCCAAAAGTAGAGTCATTTGCTTGTGATCATTTAATGGTTTGTTTGGAAGCATATTTTTCTTGACGTTATCTCCAAATGCATAAACCTCGATGCCAACAATTGGGAATCCTCCAATTGTTCATGACACTGTGAGGTGCCATACAAGTTCTGGTTTCAATCACAAGTGTCATGTGTTCCTGGGAAGAGAAATCAATTCCCCGAGTTGAATGTGTTCATTGAAAAGTTGTGAATAAGTTCATATTTGATCATGTGTAAGTTCGATGTTGTGGTCTATTTCTGAGTGCAAACGTTTTGGGGAAAAACGTGAGAGGAAGACCTCGTTCTTTTTTTTTTTTTGTGAGGCGTTTTGCCTTTCAGTAATGTAAGCGCATCTGTTGTAAATGGTAGATCTTTGACGTAGTTCTCCTGCGTTCTCGTCGCTGTCGGTTCAGAAAATCTCAGAGAGTGAGCGTACTCCGAACACTTGCGCCTTGCAAGACTTTCGCCCTTTTAGCACACTCACACGTTTGTTTGACTTTGGTTGGGACAAGACAATGGTGTCTGTCCAGCCGCACATAGTCAAGTGTAGCGAGAGCAGCACGATAAGGTCATTTCAAATAAAATTGGCAGTATGACACTGAATATGCCAATGTAACATAAATCTCGCCGCCGTGCCTTCGATACTATACATCTAAAAGTCCCAAGTCAGCTTTTTTTTTTCCTTTTGCATTTAAATCCCATAGGAAAGCCGCCGAGTTCTTCTTTCTCTGCAGCTTGACACTGCCAAGTCAAACACATCAATAAATGTCACCGAGCTAATTCAGCAAAGATGTTTGAGCCTCTTTTTTTTCCCGAAACAAAAGTATAAACATGTCAGTGATTGGCATGAAAAATACAACCGAGACTCAACTCAACTTTTAGAGCCGTTTTACATAAACATGCACATACTGGCTCGGATTCAAAAGCACGGGTTCTTATACAAGCGCCCTCACACTTATATTTAAGAAAAAAGAAATGAACATACTGTACAGTTTAATATTTGTTTAACCAGCACTCTAAGCATATGGAAGGGACTGAAAACAGTTTTACACAAGTAAATAATAATAATAATAACAATACATTTCATTGATAAGCACCTTTTAAAACACTCAAGGACACTTTACAATCAAAAAGAGAACAATAAAACAACAGATAAAATTATAAATAATAAAAGGAGAGATTAAAGTAAAATGTAAACGACGAGTCAAATGTAACACAGCCGAGGGAATAGTGCAGACAAGCGTTGTCAGTATCAGTGGCGAGATGATATCTAGAAATGCACATCATCAAGGGTAAAGTACCGTAAGACAAAGAAATTGTACAGACACCACGAATTCTGCATGGAATTGATAAATGCTGCATGAATTTCACTGGTAGCAATGATACCGACTGTTCTGAGTACCAGGCCCAATTGTAGCTACTGAGGAGCCCAATAAAATTGTGGCTATAAAACATGGAGTTGCTGAAATGGAAGTATGGCTCGTTTCCTAATCCAGAGGGGAAGGGGGAAGGGGGGCTGGGGGCATTTGGTTAGAAAGATTTCTGTTGTGTTCATTGCATCTGAGAGGACACTTGAGCCTTGAGCAACTGGCCCCACTGAGCGAGCACTGGATGTTCTGGGCGGGAAATGCTGAAAATTAGCGGAGGAAGCCGAATCTCCCTCAAGAGCTGCATGCTCTCAAGCAAACGCATCAGCGGAAACAGCAGGACTGAGATTTAAAACGCGGGACTCACACTGTGAAGGCAAACATTTCTGGGATTCATTTAAAAAAAAAAAAAAAAAAAGTAAGGAAGATAACTCAACACCAAGCACATGCGTAGACTTTTAATGCTGACACCTCAACACATTTCACTTTAAAATATATCAAACGACTTTGATGAGGCAATTATTTGAAACGTAATCCCTCTTTTTTTTCAGATTTACTCGACACATTAGGTGATTGGAACTGCTGATAGCGTGGAAGGCACTGAAGTCACAGATCTCATTAGAGCGCTCTTAGTTATGCCGTGTATGAAAAGCCAAGCGTTTTTAGCGGCTGCGACGGAGCCCGTGAAGTGACACTTACCTGGTCACCGTCATAAAGTGTCTGCAGAGGACTCCTCCTGGGCTTCTGCCCATCGCTTCTTTCCCCAAGTTGCTCCGAGGCGGAGGCTGGGAAGGAAACAAAGTACCAGTCATTAAAATATGCTGGAAGGAGCCAAGATGGAAAAACACGTGGAGTGAAAGCATCAGGTGGGTCCACATGAGGAAAATATGCCGATCAAGTTAAATTAGGGTGTGGTCTTTCGCAACACTGGTAGTGTAACAATAGAACCTAATGAAAAAGAGATGAATCCAGGCTGACTCGACACTTCCCATTTAAGTGTATAGCTCACGCCATATGAATTATGTCACTAGTTTTTTTGGGGATGGTAGGATTAGAGACAGCAAAAAAAATAAATAAAAAATTAAAACAAAAACAGATGTGCACGTCAATATTTTTTGTATTTGATGTTGTGCTGCTTTAATGGTCCACGACAAGAAGTTGGCATGAAATTTCTGGCTTGGAGGAGACAGAGCGGGATGAAAATTTGAATTTTTTTTTTTTGTTTCCAGCAACCCAAAAAAAAAATCATATCTCAATGGAGAGGTATTGGTAGGTGGCAGGTGGAGGAGGCGTTTGTGTCGAGAAATGTACATCAGAGGTCACACGGGTCAAATTTCTGGCTTGAACTTGCTGACTTTGCACAATCTGCCTTTGCTTCTTTGCTTTCTTTGCTTCTGCTATTTGAACCAGGCGGAAGACGAGAATGTCGGACGAGCCACAGCAAATTATGAGACGAGGGAGGGTGCAGGTATGTTGTAACATAAGCGCCATCATGTTTATACTGATAGCCATGGAAAAACAGTATAGATATATATTTTTTGCTGCAATTTCTATTAGATTTTTTTTAAGTCGAAGAAAAACACACAAATGCCAAAACTGTAATGGTGAGCTCTCAAAAAAACAAAATTATACCTCGTACAGTTCCCTTCCAGGGAAATCTGACATCTGCAGAGACAGCTGCAAGATGAAAACAAGCCAAAGCAATTTCCAGCAGTGTAATCCCAACTATTAATGTTCAACTGAAATTTGGACTAAACACACGGACATGATCCGAGGGAAAATGATGACGGACACATGCAAACTTTTAAACGAGGGCAGCTACTGTCGTTTCCCCTCTTTCCCTTTAAAAATGAGCACAGGGGTGGCTTGGATGCAGAGAACAAAAAAAAAAAAAACTGCTCGCAGTAGCTTGAGGCTATTTTTTGAGCACTTATTTTGAAGTGAAAGGGATACTTTAGGATGACCTACTTGGGGGGAAAAAAACTTTCAATCCACTGCTGACAGCTAAGTGGAAAGAATAAGTTGCCTCATGAGTTATGAACTTATTCATACTTGTGTTCAATCAAAAAGAGATGCACTTTTTTTCCTATAAAACAAGATTCAGCGCAGTCAGCACAAACTCCAGGATGGCAAATCTGTTTTAAATGCCCGCAGAGCTGTCAAACTCATGCAATGAAGAGTTTTGTCCCTTTCCACAATGGAAAGAACTGGTGAAAGGTTTACCTTTGAATTAGTGTTGCTTTGATTTAATATTTTCAATTTCATCGTACATACAAAAAATTCAAAGTTAACATTTTTTTTCTTGTATGAGCTATTTCTGTACAGTTTTCGCGGTTTTCTAAGACGCCACACGACGAGTAAACACTGTGTCGACAGAATGTGCATTGGATTTCGCCAATCATGACATTCACTGGTGTGCGTCAGGTTGTTGTCGTGGCAACGGTGAGCTGAAATTTAGCTCTTGGCATAATGCTCTTTGTGCGTGTTGCAAAGAAGAGAAATAGAAAAGGAGGCATCGGAAAAAAAGTGCTTCTTTATCCATGGCCTTTGTGTTTGGAGCTGATAATGGTGCCTGTGACAATGCGGATGTGGTTTTCGGCGAAAGTAGCAGCGGCAGGAGACAGTTGCACACACTGCCGGGTGATCTCTTGGTATTTCTGCTCTGCTTAATGTGTCTGTGGATACGCTGTGAAAGTTTTTATATTTGCCCCTGTCTCGCAGTGCGTGTCAACGCTACCGGACGCTGACCAGGACCGGCCGCCAGTGTTCCGCATCCGTCTAGGGCAGTGGTTCTCAATGTGGGTTCGATCGAAGGGTTCAGTGAATCGGTCTCAGGGTTTTGACGGAGCCTCTGCCTTGGAGGTTAAGACACACCCGACTCAACATGCCAATAAATTGTGACACGCCCGCTGCAGATGTTCACTTTACATCACTTGTCCAATCAGTGCTGCGGGAAATTTAGTTTGCTCAGTCGTCAACCAGTGACTTTCGTGATCGTACGTCGTGTGTGTTTTTTTTTTTTTTTAGAATTTTTTTAATACATGCTATGTCAAGCAAAAAAAATTAATTTTTCGCTAATGAAGGGTTCGGTGAATGTGCATATGAACTGATTGGGTACGCTACCTCTAACAAGGTTAAGATCCACTGGTCTAGGGTTAGTTAGGTGTATAACATGAAAGGAAAGGAAATCACTCTCCGTCGATTCTGATGATTTGAATTGGGTGTGTTCGAAGAGGGAGGCATCTCAAACACGCTGGATAGGGAGAGTGCTCACAGTGACCAGACTTGGGCACCCCTGCCTGAGTACCTTAACACTTTTTATCTATTTATTTTTTTTGCAATGTTTAATCCAAACTCAAGTTGACTGAAACACCGGTACTGCTGTCTCCTGTTTAATGGAACACATCAACACTTTTTTTTTGGGGGGGGGGCGGGTAAGAATTTTCATTTTTCCAATTTTTGGGTGTGGAATGCATTTTCCCAAGACTGCAGTATATCTGCTGTTTCTGAAATCCCCCAACCCATCCCACCCACTGTTGCACTGAGATTCACCCAAAGAGCATTGCAAGGAAGGCGTATTCGTATTGGTTGGGTCTTGTCGAGACCCAAACGTGCAAAGGCCTTTCCTCTGCATTCCTCTCGACCTATTCAGAAACAGGAACTTTGGCAATGCAAAATACATAGAAGACGATGTGTGTTAGTCCCGTCTCGGTCATAAACGGACCTCTGTTTTTTTTTTGTTTTTTTTGGGGGGGGGGTGGTCCCACCGGGAGAAGCACCCCCCCACCCTCACCTCTCCTTTGCCGTTCCTGCCAAAAAGCTTAACTGAGAGAGACACTGTACAAGGGAAAGTCTGATCATTTTACCCACAAATGTGTGTGTTTTAAGGGTGTTAGTGCGAAAGAAGGCAGGGCATGTGGCGGGTGTCCTGACTAGTTATTGACTCTTAGAAGATTGTATGCAGATGTAACATTCGAAACCATTTGAATGCATATGCAACATATCATCTCTTGCAAACGTTTGGGGCATTTATGGGAGCATAAAAGTCATTTAAAAATGTTCATATCAGGGTTCAAGGATGCAACCAAAATGGTTGCACAGATGACATTCATTCAGCGTATGAGAGCTGGCTACTCTGAGAAGATTAAAAAAAAAAAAAAAAAAAAGACCATAAATTGGGGTGATGAGTGCGCCACTGATGCTGAAATGCCGAGCAATTGATTTAACTTCCATGTCCTCCAGGCAAGGAATGTGTGAAGTGAGTATATCGCAGGCACACCAGCCATATCCTCGAAACCACGGGTTATCTTTTAGAAACATCAGCGTCTGCCAAGGTTACTGATGACATATTCATTCATCATAATTTTATTTTCCATCAACTTCTGCACCACAGACTATTTACTCTTGAATCTTGGCGAAAATGTCAAATCAGGGCAACCACATCTGGTCTGCCAAAAAGATATGGTCCATATTTCCAAGTCTCATATGCTGTCAAATGAAAGTATAATTCCGCTTCTCAATATAAAACCTGATTTGCTGCTTAAACGCGTTTAATGGAATCAAAGATCAAGCCAGGCAGTTGATGTTTGTTTTAATCTGTAACTGTTCTCTGGCAGCTTTTAGTCAACGCTAGACTAACTTTACTTTCCAGATGAATGCCAAAAGAGAGCAAAAGGAAGGTTTGATGAATGCAAATAAAATGCTTTGATGGACAACGACATGTATGTGCATTTCATTTTTAGGTAATTCTTTAATTTGACTCACTTTTTTTTGTTTTTGACGTGCAGCAAAAATTGGTCTGTCTATGTGTGGCCCGGTACCAAAAAGGGCCTCGGCTCGCTACCGGTCCATGGACCGATGGTTGGGGACCACTGATATAAAGACCCTTTCATTTTCACATCCAACTGTCATAAAAAACATTCAAGCTTTCTCCAACGAAATGACTTTTAGACTAGATATAGAGACTGACTTCATTGGCACACTACAAAATTGAATGCATGAGCTTCCACTCGCCACAAAAAAAAAAAAAAAAAAAAAAAAAAAAAAAGTACTTCATAAGCGCAGCAGCCTATTTTTGGATGAGCCTGACAGCATGGTATGCTCTTGCGCACCACATGAGGCAGGTCTTTTTGGATCTGTCACAACTGTACACATAACTCTCGCCCCATGTTAAACTTTGCACATTTTCGGCACAAACTCCTTGCCCACATCCCTCCAACCAGCATGGGATACATACGTCTTTTTTATGGGGGTTGTGGAGGGGGGGGGGGCACAGGATATTGCATGGTATGTCTGAATGAGGCCATTGTGCGTGGCCAAAGGACCTGGAAAAGGTTGGGTTCAGGCAAATCACGCAACCTGCCAGCTGGAACTTCTTTTAGCATTTACCCGCCCAGCTGAGGAAACAGTCATCATCCTCTAGGCAGTTTGCTAATAAAATGGTTCCTCGCCTCATTTCTGCGTGTTGCATCGTTTTTCTAGGCCATAAACGTGTTTGGATGGTTCTATGTTGGATTTGTGTTTGCTGCAGAAGTAGGAATTCATTCAAATTCTGGAAGTACTGCAGGTTTAGTAGGTAGTGTATAAGCCAAGTGTGGGTGTCCATAGGCCAAACAAACAGCAGCAATGTCAGCCCAACTCGGGAACGACCTCCAAGCGGTGTTGGGCGTGCCTTTGGGCTACGAATGGTTCCCAGTTAATAGCCGAAGACTGGGTCTGCAGGTACCCGGGTCGCTGCGGCTTTCGGAGCCGCTTTGGGACCCAGTTGGAGGTTGCTCAACAGCAACAGCAGCAGCAGCAACGTCAATGATTCGAAATGAAAAGCATGAATGCAGCTGCCTTGTGTCTCGAAAAAGGGCTCACGCTTTGGTAACGTTGACACAAAATAGCACCTCCGCATCATTTCAGTTTGTGTGCTTTTAAAAGTTTAGCATTAGCAGTGTGTAGCTTCACAAAAGTTTTCAGGAATTGTGATTCCTGTGACACACCGGGTTACAACCATAACGATGTGAAAATATACAAAGTCCAGGTGGCCTATTGCACAACAAGACCTCTTCATTCAGATAAACCGAGTGTGAGTCCGAGAGATCGTTTTGAGGGGTTGTTGCCTCACAGGAAAAAAAAAAAAAGGTCTTTAGGTTCAATTCCACCTTGGATCACCCTGAACACTCAACTTTAGGGCCTATTTGTGTTTTTCTTTGTCTTCTATAATGTTTTCCCCAAACCACTTTGTGGCTTTTCTCCAGTTACGAAAATTTCCCCCCAGCCATTTTCTCAGAGAATAGATTTCACAGTATTGCATAATACGTATGTAACATATAAATAAAAGACAGAAGTACATGGTGCTCCTTTTCAGGAAGACAGCCTGGGTTCGATTCCCAGCCAATTCCCCAATATGGAGCCATTGTTGGTTCCAAGCCAGGATGAATAAATCAATAAACTTCACCAGGGTGGCCGGAGTGCTGGAGCCTATCTCAGCTGTCATTGGGTGAGAGGCGGGGTACACCCTGAGTTGGTCCCCACTTGCTAGCTCATCGCAGGGCACAAAAAGAAAAAACAGCCATGACAATTCAGAGTGTTCAGATCATCTACCGTGTGTGTGGGTTTTTTTTTTTTTTTGTGTGATGTGGGAGGAAACGAGAGCACTCGAAGAAAACCCACGTAAGCACAGGGATGAGATGCCAACCCCACAAAGGAGCGCCAGAGCCCAGATTTGAACCCACGGGCTCAGAACTGTGGAGCAGATGTGCAAACCAGTCACGCACCTTGCCCATCTTGTTTCATGAGTTGATTTTTTTTTTTTTTTAAATTCTAGTTTTTGATTCTCATGAGTTAATAGTCGTTATTTCTGTGTTAATTGTTACTTTTGTCAGGTTTAAGTTATTCTTATGACCACTGTGGGTTTTTCTTTCAGTAACACAAGGATACCACCAATAATCTTTGTCCACGTGTGTATACGCAGTACACACACACACACACACATACATACATACATACATACATACATACATACATACATACATACATAGATATATATATATATGTACATACATACATACAGGATGTATAATCATGTATACAATGACATGACAACCGTACATACTGTGGAGACTATCAAGACATACACAAAGTGTATGTATATGTATCCTGTACATATATGAAGTGTGTACATAAATGACAATATTTCACACATACCTGTATTTTAGAGAGAGCGAGAGGTAGAGAGAGAGAGAGAGAGAGAAAGAGCGAGAGATGCTCTTGTTCGACTCACCTGGTTTTAGATTGCTGTTGAAATAGAAAATGACCATCAAGAAGCATCCTAGACTTAAAGCAAAAAGCATTCGAATGATTTTCGATTTCCTCATCCTGAGTCCTCGGGACGAGACCGAGTGGACGACCAATCCCAGCCGGCGTTCATGCAAAAAGGTGTTTTTGTTCGGACGGGCTGTGTGTCTACTTGATCACGGGCATCGATCCGTCTTTCTGACCTTTGCTGCTTTTGGCTTGCAGTACATCCTCGCGTTTGCAGGAGATTAAGACGCGGGATCGGAAGCGCAGGTTACTCCGGTACCAAAGAGAGTCCGAGTAAAAGGCTTCAACGAGTGTCAAAGAAGGCGAGGCATTTTATTCAAAGGTGCATTGGACGCCCGGGTGGCTTCTTTCCAAAGGGTCCGTGCCCAGTTAACCCTTCCCTCCCCAGAGCGGATACAGCTGTGGAACCTTTCCAAGTAAAACGCTCACATCGCCATTTGGTCCAGTCACAGTGTGACATGGTTTGGAAACGCAGAATTCATTTCTGACTTGAAAGGCTAGGGTGAGTCCTTGTCAACACCGTTTGGATATGATACTTTATTGCTAATTCGGGACTAGAGCGACTGCCCGACAAAATGGTAATGTCGGATTTTCTTTTCCTGTGTATGAAGCAATTATTGTATGATTTACCAATGAGTGTTACATCGTGGCGGTGTTTTTTATTTCCTCAGAATTAAACCATTTGGTCTGTTTCCACGAGACTCTACTTTGCGCTTTTATTTTGAAGCGGATACGTTGAACAGTTTTGTTTTCCGGTGACACAGCTGTGTCACTATAGGCACACAGGGTACATATTTGCGTATCCGTTTGACTTCAACGTTGGACATATATATATATACACACACCCTGTTAATATTATCCTGTCCAGATTTGGGTGTGCCTGAGTTTTACCAAGGCAATGTGGTCCTGCGATGCCACCTTGTGGCGTTTATTATGGAGGTAAATTTGGTGAGAACGGCAAGGGTGTGTACAGTATCTTGAGAAAGCCAATTTGTCGTTATAGCCAAACTAACCTGCAATTGTCCAGGTAAATTTGGTGCAAAGGCTATTTGTAGATGTAGAAAACAAGTGTCACAGTTGCAGCAAGTGAAACTTGGAGTTGTTGAAAATAAATAAGTAGTTGTAGCAGAAACAAAATTGTAATTGTGGCAGGACTAACTTGGGAGTTGTAGAAAAGATAAAACCCATGGTCCAAATTACTGAATTTGCCTGGTCAAAAGAATTAACTGAAATTGATTGGTGCAAACAGCGCCCACCAACCACCTTCCAGGTATGAATAACTTATTTTTACACCATATTTTTGTTGAAGCCCCCAATCGATGAATACAAAACCCCCCAAAACAAAGCGGAGAATGGTTGAGTCATGTTTACCTCATACTGAAATGTCACGTTAGATTATGCAAGTGTGGCACTCCCCAGTGACTCAAGACAGCCAGTGATAAGGAGTGTGGGGGGGAAACAGCAAGTCAGAGTGAAACAAGGATTGCGCTTAACTGCAGTCTTGATTACACAATTGAGTGTCAGCAGGTTAGGTTACTGGTTCTCCAAGTGCAGGAAATTCTCACGAGACCTGCTGGGAAACCCTGACTAGGATGGGACCAATACATAGAAGACTTTGAAAGCAAGAAATTAGATGGAAAGTTACTGTTACGATGAAACGTGAATGCGATAAATTTCTCAGCCCATTTCAAAAGGCCAGACATTAACAAATAGTAATGTAAACAGTCTACAAATATGCAATAATAGTTCATCACGTGCATGTTATTGACATGCAGCCTTCTTGCTGGAACCTGTTCAGTACGTAACCAGTTAGCCGTTTCAGCTTTTTTTTTTTTTTAAGCAGGCCATTGGAATAACAAACGCCACTGAATGAGCTCATCGGAGATTGTCCTCATCAAAATGGGTAACGGGCTAAATAAAAGAAACCCTTCAAAGCACGGTTGGTCATGGCAACCCATGCAGGTGACACAGTTGTCAGATGTTGTGTGTTGAATGAAAGCTTCATGGCGGCGATTGTACTGATCGCTTGTGAAGGTTTTATAGAGCCACAGGAGCACGCGCATCCCAAGGACACCTGCTCTTATTTCTGCAGGGCTCTCTGATCACCTGAATATGAATAGCCGGCTCACTTAAACGGGTTATTTTTGATCCACTTGTACCTGTGTGTTGCATGACAAGCTACGGCCGTATTGCCACATAAAGAATCGCTTGGTAACCACACAAAAGGTTTAAAAGAACATGATTTAAAAACAAATCATTGTCAAAAAGATTCTTTATTTTTCCTTGAAAGGTAAGCATCCACACACACACACACACACACAAAAAAAACCATACAAAAATCACAAGAGATCTAGAGACTGGTCATCCAAGAGTGGCTACATCTTTTACATCGACTTTTATGTGATTATGTGTAATTTTAGATTGGATCATTTCAAGAGTGTAATGTAGATTTTGCACAGGAATTGAGGGCAGTGCAAAAGCGCTCCACAAAATGTTCCTCCTATAAGTACACCTGGAAAGCAGTCGTTTACAAACACGGTATAATGTAGTAAAAGACGCATTTAATTAACCAAGTGTAGACTACAGAACAACAGTGAGCACATTGGACTGAATGGGTTGTGTTGTGTGTGGCAATTAATTTTGCTGGGGACTTGACAAATTCTAGCATTTATATTGGGGGGGTGAAAAAAGGTTTTGGACGAAGGGGCTGGGACACTATGAGCTACTTCTGCAGAGGTGAATCAATCCCTGCCCACCAAAGCATTTTGGGTTCCAGGCAAGGACATCAAGAACAGCTCCGGCGCACACAGACACGTCACAAGAGTGACGTGTATGGCCGTCCGTGCTCCTCCGAGAAGGTCACAAATAGAGAGCCCAGGAGTTTTTTTCAGCAGAGTAACCCCGCTGTTCAGCAGAATGCCCTCAGATCAACTTTGCTCAACCAGAATGAGCTCGCCCCTGCACGTTAGCTTCCACAAAACTCAAAACGAGCATCTGTACTTTTTCAGATGCTAGCCGCATTGTACAATTTGTCCTGAGAAACAACAACCCTGTAGAGGCACCGGTTGGGAGTTGAAGGGTGAGGTTCTTTGGAAGCTAAGACAAGATGGCGGCGAGGTGGACCGCTTGAGAGCATTCTGCTAAACAAGCAGGGCTTAACCTCAGCAGCCAGCCTGGGTGATGTCACCTCCGGAACTTTTGGTCACGTCCAGAGTGGTGAAGACCTGCGGGCGAGGAATGGAGACAACTAAGACAATGCAAGTCCTGCTCCTATTCCACATGGGGACATGATCTCAAGTCGTTCATAAAGCAGCAAATTATACCAACACAATGACGAGGGTGTGGCAGTTGCGACTTGAAAAATGTAAAATTTGCAAATTGATCAGTGCACTTTTTTTCCCCCCAGCAATGTTCTTTCTTTTATGGATGTGGCTACGAAAGTCATCTTGTTGGAATTTTGAAATGCACCGTTTCACACCACTTCCTGTTGCAGTCATTCCGAGAAAACGGAACACAATTGCATCATGCTGAAGGAGCTTCGTTCAAAAGTTGACAAAAGGAACTAGCACGTCAACCACATCTGGGAGCGAGATGGAGATGATTGCTTTCAGATTGAAAAGGTCATTTGTGTGTTTTACCTCGGCACACGTTGGGTGGATGCCAATGGTCGTGTCCAGATGCTCTTTGGTCGCACCACATTTCATAGCGGCGCCAAAGCCTTGCGTTACCTCGCCTGCGTTGGGACCCAGGTAGTGAAAGCCAATCACTCGGTCCTGTAAGTTAGAAAACAGAAATAACTCAGGAAAACGACTTTTGTTGCAAGTTTCTCTAATGGTCACAACAGCGACACTTATTTATCTCGAGTCTGGACTTAAACATGATGTCGGCAGTAAAGTCCCCCCCTCCCCAAAACAAACTTTAGGTCGCTTTCAGCAGATTTTGGACTGGAATGTTTTGCTCAAGATCCGATTGATATTATTGAAAATGAATGGCAATTTAAATTTTCCCACGAGTCAAAAAAAAAAAAAAAAAAAGTGAATTTGTTAGAGAAAAAAAAAAAAAACGGACCATCTTGAAATAGGGCTTCCTCCAGCTCTTCAGGAAACACAGCTTGCACCATTTTGAACACAATCCACCAAATGAGGCCACCTAACCTTCAAGACTGCACTCCCCTGACTTTGCTCGCTATCACCTTTTTCTTCATTTGTACAACGGCTGGATTCTGCTTCTAGCTGCCATCATCAGCTCGTTTGCGTTGCTAGCTAGTTTCCCGTGAAAGACTTTCTCCGGGGCGCCTCTCTTAGATTCCGAAATTCTGTCTGCTTCTACTCCTCTCTGCAAAGTCGCAAGGTATCTGCATCACACACAACGCACGCAAGGGCGAGCAAGAACGCGACTGACAATCGAGGAGAGTCGTCGGAGCCGAGTCTTACGTTATCCAATTTGTTGCAGATGATCTTGGCATAGCATCTGTTGTTGTCCCTGCCAGGCACAGTAAACTCCAAAGGCCAGAACAGACTGTGGTAAACCTGAATATGACCAAATAAATCACGTCTACATCAACAAGCAAACAAATACTAACTTGCAAAAAGCATTTGACTGTGCCCGACAAGGTTACCTCGAGGTTGTCCTGCCCGTACAGCTCGGTGGCTCTCTCCTCAGACAGACCGCAGGAGCCGTACTCAAGTGGAGTGAACACAGTGGTGGGAACATTGACGTAGTCGCACTAAAGAGACAGTTCAAGTCATATGGTAACTGTTGTTTCCCCCCGCCAAGTTTTAAACAATGTGAGAAACATTTTCAACGCTTAAATTGATTATTATATAGATTTATGGGGGGGAAAAAAAATTGAAAGTGACAATTTAGACAGACGGTGACAAAAAGCACACTTGGCATTTTCGCAGTTCTCCATTTGAACCGATCAAAGAAGGTTCCGTTTCCTGTATCTCACAGTCTTGCATTGGTTGTTCAATTAAAACAAAGAAGCAGTTTCTGATGACTGCGTGCGTACCTTGACTGTTGAACCTCCATAAAGACGACGCGCCAGCAACTTTCCGGCCTGGATGGCAACCGGCGTTAGCTCCCACTTGCCCTCCAAGATGTCGCCGATGGCATAGACGTGGGCTACGTTTGTTTGTTCTTCATCATTGACGGGAATTTTCCCATTCCTTGGAGGTCGCAAGAAGACAGCAGCGAAAAAAGGGAGAAAACTTAACTGACATTTTGTGATGTGATTCTTTTGTTTGCCTTAAATTTAGACAGAGTGACAACTTGGTCACCATACAACCGTTTCGAAACAGGCTGAAGTCATCACAATGCAGCTCCGGTTTTGTGTTGTTTGACTCAAAGCTAAGAGTAAGACACTGAACTACCAAGGTCATGTGAGACAGATCATGCACGGAGCAGAATTATTTCACCTCCGCAAGCCTTGCCGTTATTTGGCGGCTTCATCTGAATGCAGCATTACTAGCGTCACAAGGCTGAAGCATGACTCAAAGCTCCCTTTTAGGCTTGCCGTATGTGATCGTAATCCCTGCTGACTGCCTCGCCGCAAGCAGCCAGCCCATCCAAAATGTATGCAAAGTAAACGCCCACATTTTTAACGGGTCTTCTAATCAAATTCAAGAAACATTCGTTTGGAACGATGTA